TACAGTTTAAAACTAATAACTTATCCCGAAAAAACTAGGAAGAACTGAGCAAACCTATTTGGTTTGATTTTTCTTACATGTCTGTGGCCAAAAGTTCTTGAATGGCTACACTATAAAATGTATAAACTAAGGGAAAGCAATCATTTCTTTAAAAAAGATTTATTTTTATTTTATGAGTGTTTTGCCTATATGCAAGTATGTTCACCATGTGTATGCAGTGCCTGAAGTGACCAGAAAAGGGGTCAGAACTCCTGGAACTACAGTTACAACAGTTTTGAGTCACCATGTGGGTGCTGGGAACCAAACCCAGATCCTCTGCAAAAGCAGCCAGTGCTCTTAACTGCTGGGCCCTCTCTCCAGCCCCCAGCACAGATTTTTTTTTTAAAACAGAATCATTTAGGAAAACAATTTTAGTGAAGCACTTTAAAATATGAGGAATAAACCAACATACAAAGATGTTGAAGATGAAATTAGTAGGAAAAACAAGTTGCAGCACAGGTGGAATGTGTAGGTATTCATAAACATTAAGCAGATGCAAGCATCGTTCCAAAGACAATACACCCCCAAAAGCTGTTATTCACCTCAAAATGCTTCCGTACAACAGAACCTGCACACTAGAAAGGCTAGGTGACACTGAACTGCTAATGGATTCTGTGGGAGATTTGGTGTTTGGGGGGCAGGGGGAATAAAGAGGCATTACTTTGTTTTAAAGCACTGCTGGGGGGGCTTGGATGTGGTCAGTTGGCCTCCCATGTATGAGGCCCCAGTTCCATCTCCAGCACTGTGGAAGAAGAAAATAAAAACAAGCAGCAAAAAGCTGATTGCTTTGCAGATATAAAAGAGCTTTCTTTGTTCATTTGGGGCTATTTATAACTCATACATGTAGCAGATACCCATCTTGTAAAGAGTAACTCTAAGGGCCGGTGAGATGGCTCAGTAGGTAAAAGCACTCACCATCTAGCTTTGAGGACCTGAGTTCTATCCCAGGAACCCGTGGTGGAAGGAAATAATTGCACCTGAAATCTTGTCCTCTGATGGACACCGTGATGTGCATCATGGCATGTGCACACTCACAATCATGCACACACATATGCAGCAATAAATAAAATAAAATAAAAAAAGAATAAGTACTGCATCAATCTTCTCTTCAAAAACTTAAAAAACCATTATTGAAGCCGGGCGTGGTGGCGCACGCCTTTAATCCCAGCACTCAGGAGGCAGAGGCAGGTGGATGTCTGTGAGTTCAAGGTCAGCCTGGTCTCCATAGTGAATCCAGGCCAGCTGGGGCTACAGGGAGACCCTGTCTCAAAAAGACCAAAAAAAAAAAACTATTATTGAGGTGCTGGAGAGATAGCTCAGTGGGCTGAGACCACACACTGCTTATAGAGGACCCAGGTTTGATTCCCAGCAGCCACATGGCACTCATGAACAAAGGTCCTTAACTCCAGTTCTAGGTGATCCAACACCATCTTCTGGCTTCTACTGGACT